TGGATCTGTCGGTGAACAAAAGACCGCTCGTCTTAGGCATACCGGTGCCTGCTTCGGCGTCATGCGCTGCTCCATAGCCGCCGCCGGATGGATGTTGGTCGGGTGGCACCGCTTGCTGATACACGTCTCCCTCCATGCGGCCTGGTGGATAAACGAACTGCCCGGGATAACCACCGTAGCCACCTGGCACACCTACAACACAAAACAAACTAGATGACACACGCGAATTTCAAAACAGTCGCAGACATATTAAAAAATCGCCTGTTTCTTCGTTGGGTTCAATCGTTCGTTCAACTGAATGACAAGAATCAGTACTGACAGCAAGGCGATAGTCACGAATTTGTCATGCGGTTTATACCACTGCACTGCTGCACATCATTTCTTTACCATAATGTGAAGAACTGTACTCGTGCTCTTTTAAAAGCCCAACCCAGGAATGCCAGCTATAGGAAGTAATCGAACCAGACCCGCTGTCTGTACACAAAAAAACAGATAAGACAAACAGATATCTGAGTACAACGAAACAGTTTTCGGGCAGGCGTCCCCGCCTTTCAGCTTGAAGCAAGAAGTTAACATCCTAACAATGTCCGCAAAGTTAAGACTTGATTCGATTACAATTAAAATGATTATTTGTTAATAGAATATAAGCCGCTTGACAGGAGATAAATTACGGTAAATGAAGAATCATGAATCCGAATCTCCAAAGCGGTTATCCCACACGTTTTGTTGTCACGAAAGTGACAACCTCATATAAAACCAAAATGAGCATAGGAAGTAATTCCTGCACAATGCGTTCAGGAAATAACAAAGCAACAAACGAACAACGGACTAGTGTGAGGAAGATGCACTATGGAAACCAGTGACTAATCACACTCATTTTCGTACCTCCTGTGTTAAAGGGATGGACGGAAGTCCACTACACGTTGGATATTTCCAATTTTTAAGGAAGCCAGTCTAAAAACGAAACGAGGGATGAATCAAGGTATGATGATGAAATCAGATATTAGAAACCCAGAGGTAGTCTCACAAGAAGCTATGAATCGCTGATCACAATTCAATTGTCATCATCAACAAATTCTTAACCATTCATTTAATTTTAATCCTCTGTCAGCTTAAGATGACACTCAAAAATTAAAAAAAATTAAATATGACGACTAATTTAATATAAATAAAAAACACAGTGTATGAAATCACGACGTAGCTCAGCAAGAACTGGAACT